CTGAGTGGAAGCATGACCCCCTGCCCTGGCGCCAGGACTCAATCAGTGGAGACCCAACCCCGAAAGGGCCCACCTGGACAACGGCAGCACCGTCTCCTGAGATCTCCCCCTGGGACCGCCCTAAACTCTCCCCCTTAAAGCCCTTAGGACAGAGGACCCAGGGGCTCTCCCTTCGGGGGCACTCCCGTGCCTTTCCCTTCTCCCTCCTCCTCCCCAGGCACCTTCCCATCAGCTCCTCACTCCCCAGCTCCAAGGCCTTCCTTTACCTCCAGAACTTGTTTGCGAAGCCCATTTCTTCTAGGAATTACTTCTACCTCTGTAACTTACCACATAAATGTTCTCTTATATTTGGGTCTTGGCTCTGAATTCTTTCTGAGCCAGAACCCAAATACCAAGGTTGCTGAACCCAGGTTTGGTCTGACCCCTCGGGTCAGACTCCTGGTTCTTACAACACTGCTGGCCTCAACTTCCTCTCTGACCTGGTCTCAGTGATTTGCTGGCATTCTGAGTAGGAAAGGGTCACCCCAACATAGACCTCCCCCCACTGCCAATTGGCTTCATTGACTCTTCTTGTAGCTCACTTACCAACACAGGGGCGGGGGTGAGGGGGGGAGACACTGTGTGCTCCTGACTGCCCTATAAGGGGAAAGAAGGTGGGAGATCCCTAACCCCCCATGCCTGAATGAGCCTCTAGAACAGCGGTTCTCAACCTGTGGGTCGCGACCCCTTTGGGGGTCGAACGACCCTTTGACAGGGGGCGCCTAAGACCATCAGAAAACACATATATAACTACATATTGTTTTTGTGATTAATCACTATGCTTTAATGATGTTCAATTTGTAACAATGAAAATACATCCTGCGTATCAGATATTTACATGACGATTCATAACAGTAGCAAAATTACAGTTATGAAGTAGCAACGAAAATAATTTTATGGTTGGGGGTCACCACAACATGAGGAACTGTATTGAAGGGTCGCGGCGTTAGGCAGGTTGAGAACCACTGCCCTAGAAGATTAAACAGTGACAGGCCATCTTTGTAGTCAGGATGGCCCGGCGTCAGCAGTCCTACCTCGTTCTCCTACGGCCAGCTCTCCAGATGTATTTTCTCACTAAACCCTCTCTTGGTCCCATGAGGCAGGTGTAATGCCCATTTTATGTTGCAGAAATTGAGGTTCAGAGAGGTTAGTTGACTTCCCCAGGAGACTACAGTACTCAAACCCTGGTCTGTGTGACTGCAAAACCCACAAGGCGTCTCATGTCCTCTGTCAGGTCAGACCCTCGGCCCACCTGCCCAACACTGGTCAGTCCCTGGCTGTTGTGACACTGTAGCACCGACACACAGACTGACACAAGCGGGCTGGGTGAGGGGTCTGACCGACCCTTCGGGGCGTCTGTGTTTGCTGTGGACTTGGGTGCAACTTGGGCCTGGTGCGCAGACTGGGTGCGGCTGTCCTGGGTCAGTCCCTCACCTATCGGAGGGTCTGCTTCGTCCTGCCTGCTTCCTGCTGCAGCGGGGGCCCCGGGCCGCAAACCCTTGGGAGGCCCTTGGTGCCTACAGCTGCACAGATGTCGGGCGTTGCTTCGGCGGTTCAGCAATCAGACCAGCTTGGTCTTTCCTAACCAGAACTTGTTTTAGAGAAAACATGTGCCCAACAAAGTCAGCCCGTGACCCAGGCCCGCCCATGGAGATGAGATTGCACAGAGGTGATGAAATCTGATGCTACCGGCTGGGGCACCTCCGGCAACTCTTTCCACCTCAGTTTCTTTATCTGTACAATGGGGCTAAGGACAATGCTATTTGCTTTAGGGTGGTTGTAAGGTTTAAATGGACCAGCCCACGGCAAAGGGCTTGGGACCCTTCCCAGCACAAAGTCATAAAACAACCAGTGCTGGTCATTATTATTATTCCCAGCCTAAGCTAAGCCCACAGGGCTGCCCACCCCACTCCTTTATGGGACAAGCCCTGTCTGAGTGAGCACTGTGCCAGCAGATCCTACGTGGGGCCCCAGCTGAGACCCCAGAGTACCAAGAACTTAGGGTTCAGTAGGGGAGGCAGAGTCCTACACCATTGATATCTCTACAGGGCAGGCATTTTTTAAAGCTGGGAGGCTCCCTGGCGGAGGTGTGGCCCAAGTTGCCACCTGAAGGGTAAGGAGACAGCCGATTAAAGGAGCCAGAAAGCACTTGCTTGGAAGCACGTGATCAAGGCGTGCTCAGGGCGGGGAAGTGAAGTCACCCTACGTGCCTGGGACCGAGGGTCTGCATGTGCAAGGGGGGCGGGGGGGGGGGGGTGGAGTTAAAGGGTGAGGTTGGCAGAGGCAGGGGCTGAAAGGCCACTGGGAGTAGAGGAGCGTCAAGGAGATGCTAGAAGTCCCTGGACGAAACCATCCTAGCGGGATGGAGAAAGGAAACATGGGGGCGATATTGAAATGTCTTAACTGGGGACCAAACGAGGCAGGGTGGGCAGGATTTGGTTTTCTATGTTATGACTGGGGGTGAGGCAGAGATGGGAGCATCCAAGTTTCTTGTTGGGGCAGCTGAGACACCCCCAGGTGAGGGGAGATCAGCCACCTGAGTGATGCCGGCTGCCCAGGGACACCCCCAAATAAAAGGGTGAGCTGAAATACGAAGGGGGAGAGCCAGGTGGCAGGAAAACTCCGGGCACCTTCTCTCCCCTCACTAATCCAAACTCCACCTGGGCTGGGGGCCGCCTCCTCCGTGAGGCCTGGGCACACCCCCTCTCCCTGTGCTGCTGGGGACCATCCTGGGTGTGGGCGTCCTGTCCTCCAGGCCACCGAGGGCAGGCTGCCCCGCAGCGCAGTCCTGGCACATGGAAGGCGTTCAGGTGAAGTCCCTCTGGCCAGGTGAGGCGTGTCGGCCTCCAGCCACACCTGGCTTTTCCTAAACGGTCCTCTTTCCCTGCCCACCCAGAGCCAGCCACCCCCCGGGATCCACACACCTGCACCCCAATTCTGACCTCTTGAGGCTGAATGTCAAATCCCAAATCCAGGTAACAGGAGGGCTTGAAGGCTCTGGCCTCCAAACCGGAGGCCCCGCCCAAACAGCGGGCCAGGCGGCAGCGTGGTGGCTCATGTTACCCTGGTTTTGAGGAGCTGTGGGACTGGCACCACCCCGATTCCACCAATAACCATGTCTACAGGCCGTGGACGGAGCGTCAGACCGTGGCCTGCCCAAGCCTTTCCTCCTGAGCGTCCTTGGGCAAGTCTTTAACCTCCCAAAGCAGCCTCCATTTTTGCAGAGGGTCCTCTGAGAAACAGTTCCCTCCCACGGGGAGCACCCTGCCTGGCACCCAGGAAAGCACTCAGTAGGGTCAGTGATGGCGAACCTTTTGAGCTCGGCGTGTCAGCATTTTGAAAAACCCTAACTTAACTCTGGGGCCGTGTCACATAGAGAAATGTTTTGATATTTGCAACCATAGTAGAACAAAGACTTATATTTTTGATATTTATTTTATATATTTAAATGCCATTTAACAAAGAAAAATCAACCAAAAGAATGAGTTCGCGTGTCAGAGGTTCGCCATCACTGGGCTAGGTGGTGGCTATCATGCCGCAGCTTCCCGGCGTGCTGACGCAAGTTAGAGCAAACTGAGAGGCCTTTGCCAGCTCCCAGCCAACACCTCCCGCCCGCCCCTCCGCCCCTCCGCCCCTCCGCCCCTCTGCACGGGTGGTAATTAGCCCTCCTTGGGTGTGTTCGGAGGTGGGGATTGGACTTATCCTGGGTTGCAGAACTAGAATAAATGAAGGTAGGTTTTAGTTCAACCGAGAAAAAAGCACAATGTTCTTTGATAGGTAGTGAGCTCCCCGTCGCCTCAATGACCCAGCTGGCCCAGTTGGCCATTTGGCACGAAGGCTCTAGCGCATAAATGGACATGTATTAGTATTTCTTACCACATCGCTGTATTAGAAGTTCCTTGAATGAAATGGTGGTGCCAGGAGGAGGTACTGCCGTGTCACTAATTTGGCAAAATGAAAAATTGGCCGTTCTTACTTTGGCCCTCCAAAAAGGCTTATTGAAATTCTACCAGTTTCTGATACCCAAAATCTTAACCCCTCCTGCAGACACCCACTCCTGGATCCAAGGTTTAAGAGCCCCAACAGATACCTATACAACTCCTGGTTGGTGACCCTCTCTGGTTTTATCTTTATTGTTCAAAAGTATTACAGACGTCCCCTTTGTCTTTTTCCCATTGACTCCCTCCACCCCATGCCTGCCCCTCCCAGGCCTTCACCGCCCTATTCTGTCCATGAGTTACACAGTGCCCATCTAGTGCAGGCCTGAATCTATATCATGGCTCAGATCAACCACAGCAACCGCAGGGCAAGTACCACAGAGGCACTTTACCAGCAAGTGCCATCGGGGCTGGGCTGGGCTGGCTGAGGGGACTCCGGTGGATGGGGAAGGGGATGCAGAGCAGGTCGGGCTCTCAGGTTCCTCCACTTCCTGGAGTGCCTGGCCCGGGACTGGGGAGGTGGCCCCCAAGTCCGCCCGGCGCCAACTCGCAGCCTCCCCTCATCTTCCTCCCAGAACTGCGTCCCTCGGAGAACCTGTCCTGGGACCAGTGGGGCAGTGACCTTGAGCAAGCAGGAAGGGATGGACCCGTCTCCCAATGCAACCTCCTACCCAAAATAAACCCCTTTCTCAATCCTCTCAAGCTTTGAAAAAAACAAAAAAACTCCCCACTTTTGTAACTCCGAGCTTCCTGAGGTTGACCCCATGACAAACTCAGGGCACCCAGCTGGCTACACCCACGGGTCCCCGCCTAACAAGGGTGTCTGTGTAGCTCTGGGTCTTTCTGCACACAGGGAACTGACCACGGAGACAGGCTGCTCTGGACATTCCTTTCACGGCCCCCCTCCCCCTTCTCCCCAACCAAGCGCTGGGCCAGGGAGACCCCAACTGTCCCAGACGCCTGACACCCCTGCCCACATATCCCACCCATCATAAGACAAAGGAGCTGGAGGACAACATGGAATCAAGTATACATTTTAAAAATTGTTTAATGGAACATAAACTCCTTTAGAAAAACATTCAGCCAGGTGATAACACCCATAGAAAAAAACACCAATCTTGTGTTTATCTTTTTTTTAATTTGGCATTTGTTATTTGCATTTATATTAAAGCAAAGTGCATCTTTTCTTTATTTTTCTTGTTTATACACATTGCACAATACATAAATAATGATGCTTATAAAACGTCTTTATATTTACAAGTAATAATATATTTATATATAACATAAAATACATTTTTTCTTTAATAAATCTCAGGGTTTTGTGTGTTTTTTGTTTTTTTTCCAGGAGTCCTTTCTCTCAAAAGCACTACAATGCTAAATTTCCAATGAGAATGCTTCTCTTGTTCACTTAAACCTTTGTAGTTAGAAAAATAGCTTATGTTAAAGTCTAAACATGCTCATTGAGCTAAGAGCAGTGTCAACACATCATACGAGTGTATGAGTTGGAGAAGAAACGAAAGAAGAGTTAGGTGTCAGTCCAGGACGGTACCTTGGGTTATGATGGACCGAATCCTTGGTGGGAAGCGGGCTGCTCCCCTCGCTGGTCTAACAGCAGAGCTCAACACAGGCCGCAGGAGAGCAAAGTGCTGAGCTGATTTTCTGAGTCCGGGTAAAACCTGAGGGGTCCGGGGCAGGGGAGAGGCTGAGGGCCTGAGAGGGCACCGGGTGAGCAATACTGTAGCTCAGACACATCCAGGAGCAGGTGCCACAGAGGGAAGACAATGGCAACAGGGTGGCTGGAGGGGAGTTAAGACAAACTCGAAAACGATTCTGAGTCAGCGTTGTTTCTAAGAAGCCTAGTGACAGGCCTGGGTCCTTAGAAGGGGAGGGCGGGGCGGGGGGCTTCCCTGGCTGAGGGCAGAGCCTTGCTTCAGGCAACTGCTGAGACATTGGGCTCAGGCTGCCCCAGGTGCTGTCTCTGCCTCACTGAGCATGTCCAGAGGGCAAGGGAGACACAGCTGGGAGCACAGAGCTCATGGGCGTGCGCACACACACACACACCCACCTGTTCACATACCCACCCTGACAAGTGAAACGATGACCCCCAGAATTAGGGGCTGCTCCCCATTCATGCACTGTGTTCAGGGGGACTGATTTTTGCTTCCCCTTTTCACATGGGGGTGTCTTGCCAACCGTATGATCTCTCCCCCCCAAAAAAGACCCCAACAATTCTTTTCATAAGCTACTTCTCAAAGAACAAAACAAAACGGAACATAAACAAGGATGACAAGAAGGAGAGAGAGAGAAAAAAAAAAAGAACAATGACCAAAGACTTCTGCATGAAAAGCAAGCACTCAGGAGGAAAATATTAGCAGCAAAGTAGTTTGGACTGGGCCCGCCCGGCTCGCTCTGTCCTCGGCCGCCAGCGCGCGGCTACCGGCTGTTGAAGATGACCTCCAGCCAGCACGGGCAGCTGCTGATGAACTGGCGGGTGTAGCACTGGCCCCAGCCCTTCACGAAGCTGATCTGCACGGTGAAGCCAGTCCACGGCTGCTGCATGAACTCGTGGTCGTTGGGCCGCTGCAGGCTGTACGCCTTCTCGTAGTCGAAGGCCTTGATGGAGAAGCCGGGGAACACCTTGTGCACCAGCAGCGTCCTGGAGTCCGGGTTGTCCAGTGTGGCCGACTTGATGAAGATGGGGTAGCTGCTGCGGTTGTACACCCACACGCCGTCCACCTCCCGCGTGAGCTGGATGCCGCAGCCGATTTTGCTCCGCACTTTCTGCACCAGCTGACTCTTGTTGTCCGAATTGAGCTGTCCGAGGCAAAAGCCGTTCCCCTGAGGTAGATCATAGAAGATGTCCAGGGAGGGCTCCTGGACGCAGTAGAGCCGCCCCACGCGCGTCTTCTCCTCCCAGTATGCCACCACGCACCAGTGTGACCGATCCCCAGGCTCCAGGAGAAGGTGGGAATCTACAAGACAAAACGGCAGACATGCTTGGTGGGGGCGGGACTTCCTCTTCCTCCTGGAATCCACCCCCCCCACCCCAACACACACAGGCACATCCCCACGCACCCACGACCAGCTCGGCTCTCGGCACAGGACAGGAGGAGATGCTGGTGGTGCTGGGCGGCCTACCGGTTCTGGTCCTCCCACTGGGGCTGAAAATCCTGACCCTCTGGTAGAAGTGTCCCGACTTTAATTAAGCAGGGGGCTCGCTGGGCGCACCTCATCCCACCCCTTCCCCATCCTGTCAGGGACCCAGACACCAGTACGTGTGCCCCCCTGGCCTAAGGAGGCCCATCCCTGTGCGCTCAGAGGCCAGGGGGCCCCTGGCCACGTGCTGGTCCTGGTGTTAAAGCCGTGAGAGGCCTTGCAGATGGCCTAGAGTTCGTTCTGTAAGCCGATGGCATCCTGAAGGCCAGCGCCCTGCGCCCTGGCCATCCTGATGAGAAACCTGGGCCCAGAAAGCTTACTGCTGGGGTCCCAGAGCATGACACAGCCAGGGCCAGGCAGGACCTGATCGCCAGACGCCAGGACCACCTGCTCCGTGGTCTCTGTGGCTGTCACCAAGTTCTCAGCTCAGTGCTTTGGCGTAAGAGCTGTCTGGTAAAAATGTAAATGGAGGTGTTTGGGGGCAAAAGAATCTTCCTAACGGAGAAACAGCCCTCGGTGTCTGTCGGCAGCAGCGCTGTGCAGAGAGCGTGGATTCCCGCCAAAATGCCCAATCACAACCGAGGACAGTTCCGTTAACCCAGACCACCTTAAGGAAGCTTCCTCCAGCCGACACGAGATTGTGTGTCTAAACTGGGCATGACCACCCTTAGAGTGCCCTTCTCCCTCCCTCCCAGCAGCATCTAGGCGCCTGGCCTGCCCCTCCTTCCTCCCGCCCCTGCGGGCCCCACCCAGGACGTCCCAGAAGTGTCTCTTCCCGCAGGCAGCCTGGGGGGCTGGTGAGATCCTGGTAAGGTGATTTTCCTAAAGCGGCACACGGAGCTCTTTAAAGGGGGACGTATGGAAGGAAAGGGAGCCCTTGGCGGCGGGCATTCCGACTCCTCCTTAAGCTGGAGCCAGCGGGGCAGGCCTCAGACTGGGAACCATAAATCTCCCAGCCAGGCCGGGCTGCAGGAACCCGGCTGCGGTTTGTGGTGGCAGGGCGGAGACCGGAAGTCTTGTATTTGTTAACAAAAATGGGGAGAGGGGTGGGGGTGGGGGGCGGGAGGCGAAGGCTTAGGACAGGAAGGAGGGGTTGGCTGTGAGGTGTCTTTCGGGGTGTGCTTGGCCTTTTTGATTTTGGAACAGCGGGGCTTGGAGAATAGATGGGTTGTTGCAGCGTGGCCACGGGGTGGAGGGGGGCTGGGGGCCCCCCCGTCTGCCGCTCTAGTGCAGCTCAGCACACAACTCCGTCCAGCGGCGACAGGCATGTTAGGACCTGGGAGCCAGTCAGCCCCATGAACTGTTTTTTAGGCAGCAGCCAGTCTCGCATGGAGGCGTCCCATGAGTAAGTGGACACCGTGCCCTCGGACCCACTGAGGCAGCCACGCACACACCCTGCAGACACCCCCACCTGGCCTTCTCAGATGCCTGCCCAGACAGCCACACAACGGGGAACTGAGGGCCGGTTCCTCTCCCGCAATCCCCACCCCGCCGAAAGCCAACCCGGAACACGGGCCCGTCACCGCTCCCCCCCCCCGCCCCCCACGCATGCACCTATCAAGCACAAGTGTAAGCGAGACTGTGTGCCCCCCAATGTGAGCACACTGGAGTGTGTGTGTTTGCATGCGCACACATGGGAACATATGGAAAAACAAGAGAGGGACAAGGGCTCCAAGCAGAAGGTGACTCATCAGGCATTAACTTGTTTCTGCAAAGTATCCATCAACTGCTAATAAACTCGTGAGTGCTGGCAATCTTTGAACTTTCTTGCCGAGGGAGTGCGGCCCTGAAGGCTACACCAAGACCCACAGCAGCCACGTAAACAAGGGCTCTGCGTGCGGGGCGCTGGCGGGGCGCCTCTTCTGGGAGAGGGGGCGTCCGCCCGAGGGGGAGGGCGTCGGAAACGTAAGCAGCTCTCCCTCACTGTCCCAGCTCCGGGCAACAAACCTGGCTGGAAGGGAGCCATGGGGAGGGCGGTGCAGGAGACCCTTACAATACTCTGCTTCACGGAGCCTGGCCCCCTGAAACCTGGCCCCGGCCAAGCTAGCAGGGGGGAGGAGCTGCAGGGTAGGGTGGGGTGGGGGCCTGGGATCAGTTGCCCTCGTGCCAGGCCAAGAAGTGGGGGCCGTGTCGCCCCACGGGCCTCTTGGGGGCAGAGGAAGCCGGGAGGGGCTGGGGCAGGGCTGGGCCTGAGGTCGGCTGGACTCCAGCCCAGCCCAGCCCAGCGCCTGAGGGGAGCGAGGGAGAGGGGAGCGCTCTGGCGGGTTCTTTCATCTGTGCAGCCTGCCAGTCCACCCAGCAATTTGCTGCCAGACATCCCTGGAAAAAGCCTTTTTCTGTTGAGGTTAATGGCCCGGCCCAGATAAACGGCAGCGTGTGGGTGTCCCTGTGTGTGAACAAGGCCCCTGAAAGCTCACCGGGTGCCCTGATCTGGTGCATGGGGACCCCCAGTCACCCCACGGCCTCTGCCCGCCGCTCCGGGCCATCCCTGAGCACAAACAGCTGCTACGGCTCAGGCCCCCTGAATGCACGCTGCAGGCCCCGCAGTCTCCTCCTTTGCCCCAAATTCCCCGTCACTGGGCTCACTTCTGGGAAGCGCACACCATCATCTTCAGAGAAACCCAGTTCCCTGAACTGGGCCCACAGCCCACACGTACAAGCGTCTCCCCGCCCAGGTCCCTGCGTGGCTCCGGGGGCTCCCCAGGCCTCGCGGCGAGGACCCCGCGGATCTCAGCGGGTGCCAGGGCTGAGCGAGGGCCTCGGAAGCCCAGCTTGGCTCCTGTCTCGGCTGCCGGCACAAACGCCAAGGGCGAGCCCGCCGCCCCTCGTTAACCTCCCTCGGCTTTATGGCCTTTTCCGGCGTTTTCCCTCCCCCGAACGCTGCACAGGGGCTTGTTTTAAAACTGTATTTGCGCGTTTTTAAGCATCAAAAAGAAACGCTGTGTTGTAAAAAGCTAACTCATCAGCTGCCTGCTCACAAATTTTTTTCCTTTTTATTATGGTTTAGGGAATTTTTGGAGCGATCCCAGAAAAAATGCTGAATCGGCCTAAAATTCCTATAAGGTTGTCCCCGGCCCCCCGGCCCCATTTCCCTTAGAGCATAAAATCGACCCTTGCAGAGGAAGGGGAGGCGGGTGCCGAGGAAGGCCTTGGCCTTGTGTGCGCATGTGCATTAGGGAAGGCCGTGCAGCAGGAGCTCCCTGCGCTCACAAAGCGCTATTTGAAGACCCTGGTCATGAATGGACAGACCAGGCGCTTCTGGAAGACCGGAGGCTCATGAATGAAGCTCTTGCCGGGGTCTCAACGACATGGGGTGACCAGATCTCAAGGCCGGATTTTAGGTAAGGGAAGAATTTTCCCCTTTTAAAATTTTTTATTTGAAGGAGTAAAGAGATGAGGGGGAAAACAGAGGAAGGACGGAGAGACAAGTCCAGTGCCTCAGGCGCCGCCCCCCTTTCTGGACTCCGGCTTATGAAGTCCACCCCGAGACCAGGAAGGCAAGGCTCCTCCCAAAGCGCCCAGCGAGAAAACGCTTCCCTTACCTAAAATCTGGCCTTGAGATCTGGTCACCCCATGCCGTTGAGAGCACGGGCATGCGTGAGAAGGAGGCCACCTGAGGTGGGGCTAATGGGGAGAGGGTCCCCCAGATTCTGGCCTTCCAGGACAGGCACACACTTGAGAAGCAGGACAGAGGCACACAGCTGGTGCCCACTGCCTCCAGTGCCCCCCCACTGCCAGGGCGCAAGGGGGCTGGAGAACCAGGTGAGCAAGGAGGGGGTCTCAACTCCAGCTCACCTCTGCAGGCACCCGGATTGTAAAGGGATAATTCTCTGCCAAAATCCAACCGTGGGATGGGCTGTGAGCCCCCCTCCCCAGGTTCCCAGCCGAGCAGGAGGCCGAGGATGGGGAAGCCAGGGGAGAGGGGCGTGGGGCAGAAACGGCGGCCTCACCCAGGCTGACGAGGGCGGATGAAGGGCACAAAGCAGACCCAGAAGTTAAAGCCAGCAGCCCTGGAACGCAAACATCACCACGCCTCGCCCACGACAGGTCCAGGGTCCTCTCTCCTCAGAACGCCGGCGCCACCAGCGGTTGCCTCATCCTGCCTCCCCCTACAGACATCTCAAAGGTTAACAGCACCTCGGCCCTGCTCCCCACCCCGTCAGGAAACTCAGGAAACAGCAGTTCCCGAGCAGCCGGCCCACTTCAGGGAGAAGGGCCGAGATAAAGGGCGCCCGGTGCCAATCCGTCTGATCCGCTCTCATCCCAAAGACTCACAACTGTCAAGGACCCTTACTGGGCTCTTGTTTTCAAGAGGCAAAGGACCAAGAACTAAAGTAAATATATAAAAACCGGATGCGGTGTCTGGGTTCCATTTGGGCTCTGGGGTCAGCTCTGATGGCCGTGTTTCACCCTCGTCAGGACACGCGAGATCACGCCAGGACTCCGATTCCCAAGGCAGCTCGGGCAGCTCTGGGGTCTGGAGCAAGCTGCCCACGGGGTGGAAACGAACTCCAAGCGCTTCCGCCTCTCCCAGACCCACCCTTGCACCAAAAGGTCCGAGGCCGCGCTCTGGCCGGTGGGCGGTAGGGCTGAGAAAGCGGAACTTCTAAACAAGGTTCTCTCCATGAAGGGGGCTGGACGGAGGGGTGGGCAGGGGGAGCCATAGGGTCTCCTTCAAAGGCTGGGTACTTCAGCTCCCTGGGCCCAACCAACCGAGTTCCCCAAATCCTGCCCCTCAGGGACTTCTGGCTATGGTGCGACGCCCCCAGCACACCCCGCCCCACCCCACCCCACATCGACCTCCCACGGAACCTTG